CATTAGATTTAGGGGTTATAATAGACTTAAAATATATAAGTTTTATTTTCCCGATTTTTCCCGATTTTGGCCTATTTTGAGAAAATTCCCGATTTTAGCATATTTTTGAGAAAATTCCCGAAAAGTCATATTTTATGATAAATATTCCCAAAATTACACATTTTTTTGGATAAAATTATTTATTTTATAGTTATTTCATCAAAATTCTTAATAAAATGCTAAACTGGATATAACTATATGAGGGACTGAGAGCAGAACAAACGTCCAGTTTTAATGTTGTCTTTACTGCAATGTCTATTGTATTTGCTATAGCAGTGCATAATAGACATTGCAGTAAAGACAACGTTAAAACTGGACGTTTATTCTGCTCTCAGTTTCTCATATATAAAGTAATGTCAAAGCCATTCAAAGAATTTCTTGAAAAGTTCACTCAAAGAGTAGTTCCACACCATAGTATACTTCGTAACAAACAAAAATTACTCTATGATAACATTATGGTTAAAATAAGAGAAGCTGTAAGTGATAATAATGTGATTTAAGTGATTTAAATGCATAATTATTGCGTTAAACTTGAATAAAAACATAATTCCCGAATTTTCCCGATTTTGACTTTTTTATTCCCGAATTTGGATGTTTTTACTCCCGGAAAATCGAAGCTTTAGTGATGTGCGAACCCCTCTGTTTTGGGAGCTGACCATCAATTCATTGAATTCATTGCATTCACTGTGGAGTAAGTGTCGCTTCCCTAACATATAATGCCATATATATGGTGTAGTTTGTATGCAAATCACATTCACGTGTAATAATAAGCACCTGATGGCCCCGGGATTTACTCAGGCCTGTGCTCTGCCTGTGCTCTGTCTGCTCTCTATGTTTATTATATGAAACGGTGGGGAATAAGTGACAGCTTTTAATGCATTTGAGAGCATATCTCTGACTCCACTGCATCTCTCGCACCGATAGAGCACTGGGTTGTAGAGCACAGGCAGAGCACAGGCACAGCACTGGTAGAGCACATGCGATGGCATAGGCACTAGAATTAATGCATTTACTTTTATCAGCCCTCAGGTATCAGAGCGTAGGGATGGATGAGGGATGAGATGTGAGGGGAGAATAAGCTGAAGCTGTTGTTCACATCACCAGTAATAATATGAGCACATATTTGAGTGAATCACTCACTATTACAGTTATAGCACTTATACGACACACACTCGCATCCATACACCGGTGCGATGGGTTGTAGTAGTGATGGTAGTAGTGATGGTTTTGTGCTAACTATTAACAAAAGCCATTCACATAACTGTCTCATTACGTCATTTAATTTATATATTCCGACAGAATTTCATTACTTTTTATTTGACAAACATTTCATTTTACATTCAATTTCACACCTTATTTGCCGTTCAATACTTCAATACCTTTCCAGTTATTTATTCAATATATGTTTTATTCATGGCTTTCATTGTCGTTCCTCTCGTTTTATTATTAACTTATTATTATCACAACTATTAATACTATTTAGTATTAAATAATTTAGTAATCAAGTTAAATATAGTATTAAATTGATCTACATTAATTAACATTAACAACGATTTCTTAAAATATTTTTGCGAAACATTTCATTTGTGAACAAATGATTTATTTAAAAGTCTAAACGTGTGCTCAAATCTAACACAAGAATTAAAACCCGATTCTTTACTTTAGAGCATAAGGATTATGAATAATATATAAATAACATCAAAATATTTAATATTGTATAAAATAATGGTTAAATTATAATTTATAAATATAATAGTTCTTATTTATTCACGATTATTTATTCATCGAGATTGCCATAAAAACAATCTTAAATTTATCAAGTTTTACACAAATTCACAATCTGTTAAATATTTAGACGGAGAGAGAGAGANATCCAAAAAAATGTGTAATTTTGGGAATATTTATCATAAAATATGACTTTTCGGGAATTTTCTCAAAAATATGCTAAAATCGGGAATTTTCTCAAAATAAGCCAAAATCGGGAAAAATCGGGAAAATAAAACTTATATATTTTAAGTCTATTATAACCCCTAAATCTAATGGTATATAATTCCCGATGATCTTGTTAACTATTTTATTCGGGAATTCCCGGAAATTCGAAGCCTTAATCATATCATTACTAAATCTGATGATTATTTTTACTGTTTTTGGCCTAAATGTCAATTCAAGACAATATATAAAAATTGTTTAATTTCTCATAACATAATTCATTCAGGAGTTAAACAATTTAAATGTGATTTTGTTGATTGTAATAAAAGTTTTACACAACAGGGAAATTTAATTCGACACAAAAATAGCGTTCATTTAAAAGTTACATTTATTTGTGATTTCAACGAATGTCACAAAAATTTTACATCAAAACAACAATTATTTCGACACAAAAGTTGTGTTCATTTGAATGAAAGGAAATTCAAATGTAATGANTGTGATTTCAACGAATGTCACAAAAATTTTACATCAAAACAACAATTATTTCGACACAAAAGTTGTGTTCATTTGAATGAAAGGAAATTCAAATGTAATGAAGAAAATTGTGGCAAAAAATTCCAAACAAAATCGACTCTAATTCAACACAAAAGCATACATTCGGGAGAAAAACCTTTTGTTTGTGATTTGAATAATTGTAACAAAAGATTTAAACGATCGACTGATTTATATGATCACAAAAGAAGACTCCATTTAAATATTCGTAAATTTAAATGCCATTCAAACGATTGCAAAAAGTTATTTCACACAAACTATGAATTAACAAATCATATAAAACGCATTCATTTAAATGATAAGCCATTTAAATGCAATGAATATAATTGTCACAAATCATATGCTATTAAAAACGCATTGAATGTGCATATAATGCGAAACCACAAAAATCAATCATAAAATATTATATTTTGGTAGATTTTATATTATTTTTTATTTATTTTCATAATATTTATGATATATTTTGTATTTTCTATTAATGAAATGATAAATTTAAAATCAAATTAAATTAAATGGAAACTCATAACAAATTTACATTCAATTAAAATAAAAATATTGTAAAAATTTCAGACACAATAAATTATAATCCGTATGACATTTTAAAAAATACTTTATTTTATTTGTTTAAAATATATGAATCATATCTCAAATTGTTTACAAGAAGTATTGTTTCCAAATGCCATCACAAGTAGTGTCGTATGGATTGACAAATACATTGGGTTTTGGGTTTGGGTTTAAATTTTTCACATTAATTGTATTTCCAGTCAATAATTGTGGCCACTCTTCGCTTACGGTTGGTTTGCTTGAGGAAAAAAATTAATTAATTACATAGAATAACTTGTAAAAGTGTGCTTTCTCAAAAACAATTATTTACCCATATTTAGCAAAATTAGTCCACATTTTCATTAACTCTGCGCTAAATATAGCGTCGGTATTGCTATAAGCGTCAGGTATTAGATAAGGCAATCCATAGACAAATGATGTTTCAGCGACATGACAGACACCCATACCCTCTCGATCGCAGCCGGACACATGAGCAAAATATTTGTTTTGATAAGTAACCTGGTAGAAATATACACTATGACCAGGTTGTGCATTTGTGGCCACTTGTTTAGCAAACAGATATGTCGGACATTTCATCATTAAATCGCCAAACAGTTCATAAAACGCTTTCTTGAGCTCAAGTGAACTGTTTTTGTGGACATTTTGTAGATAATAGTCGTCCACACGTTTCACATCCAATCCGTGGTAAACACTGTCCGATGTTTTTGTGGACTCAATAAAATTATTTAAAGTCAGCATATTTTTAACGTAATCTTGTGCTAACATCGAGCCCTCAGTGCTGGCAATGCCTGCCATTATATTCACATCTAATAAATGAAATTAACAGTTTAATAAATTTTGTATAATTAACTCATTTCATTGTTAAATAAATTTTTATATAACAAATACCTGAATTGAATTTATTCTCTGCGAAAGCCTTTTGGGCAGAAATGGGTAGGAATTCAGTGCCCAATACGGGATATGTTAAGAGAATCGTGTATTTGTTGAACACCTTTGCATCCAATCCTCGCAAACATTGCAACCAATCCTCACTTTCGCTGCAATTCTGCTCTTTTGCTATCCGTTTGCCTAACGATATTGAATCCTCTTTACTGATGACATCCCTATCCTTGTTATACATATGGGCGCCGCTCTCCATAATAGCCCTCTTGAATAGGCCTTTGG